GAATTATTTGCTGACATGCCCAGCCTTTCTCTTAAATCTCAAGGAACTGACACATTGGAACACCCATTTTTAAAAGCCCCTCTCTGGTGAGGAGAGAGAATTATGAAAATCATCAAACACTAAAAACACCGTAAAACAGTGGGCTTAATTTCATAAAAAGACAAAATATTAATCTTATAGCATTGAGTGAACTTAAAATTTGATAGAAAATCAATTCCAGAGGTGGCACCTATTTTTGAGCACAGGCCCTGTACAGCAGATGAAGTGAAAAGGCAGCGTTACGGAAAATATTGGCCATAGTTACAGACAAAAGGTAGAAATGCTTTTTGATCACCCTGTTCAGTCACTTTAGTAACAGAACTCAGCATGAAAGGAAGCAGTACAGATTCCTATCAAGGATAAAGGAGAATTAAGCAGGATTCAGTAACATAGTAAAAGAGTCAGACTATGCCTTTTAAAAAATATTCTTGTTTATTGCCCTGACCGGTTTGGCTCAGTGGATAGAGCGTTGGCCTGCGGACTGAAGGGTCCCAGGTTCGATTTCGGTCAAGGGCATGTACCTTGGTTGCGGGCACATCCCCAGTGGGAGGTGTGCAGGAGGTAGCTGATCGATGTTTCTCTCTCATCAATGTTTCTAACTCTCTATCACTCTCCCTTCCTCTCCATAAAAAAATCAATAAAATATATTTTTTTAAAAATCTTGTTTCTTATAGGAGGATTGAAGTTAAGGATATAGTTATTTATAATATAATAATTGGAAGAAAGAATGTTGGTGATGCCACAACAGAAAAATTTCCTTAAACAAAGACCTTTCATGTAGTTCTTAAAAGTTTGTGTGCTATAGATGTGGTTAAAAATAAGGGAAAGGGGAGGATAGTGTTAAATGTTTGAGTTTGTTCTGGCATTTTTATTTTTTTAATACGAAGTCCTCTGAGGCTCACATGCTAGTGTTAGGTGTGTGCTTACTTGAGTAGTGCTCGCTAGTTAGTATATGTGCCAGTTGGGATGAACCCTCTGTCTGACAGAGAGGCTTCCATTCTAGTCACCATAAGCTGGGGCTGTGTTTATTCTTTCCTTTCTAATCTTTTTAAATGTGTAGTCTTCAACCTTTCTCCTGCCTATGTAGCTTTTAGTTTGATTCCTGGGACCCCACACACAACTTACCCCAGTCTGTCCTCCTCACCACTAACATATAACCTATTTTCCTAAAACACTGTGTTCATCATGTCACCCTTTCCCCTTTCAGCAATCTGCTTTGGACCCATCTACTGTCTATTCCAGAATCCCCACTCACCTGCCTATCTTTTAAGACCAAACTTCGCTTTTTTCCTCCAACATAGATCCACTATTCCAATTATCCTAATACATTTCTACCTCTTGTCCTTTACCCCTGCTCTTTTCTACACGGAATCTCTGCTCTCGTTCTTTAAACCTGTTCCAGTCCCATGGGTCCTTAGATGCCCTGCCCAGGTTCCATCTTTATGAAGAATAAGCTTTCTTATATGTAGTCCTAGTGCTAATCATATAAGGTGAATTAAAATCACCTTGCTCCCAAAGGACTTGTATGCATGCATATTAGCATAGCCAACGGACACAGACTCTGGGCAGTGGGGGCTTGCCTGGGGTGGGTATGTGTGGAGAAAAAGGAGACATACGTTAAACTTCAGATAATAAATAAAAAATATATTAAATAAAAAAG